ATATATCATATGATATAAAGATCTAGAGTTTGTGTGAATATGTTAACTTTTTTTTTTTTTTTTGAGGTCATTTACTATAGAAATATTGTGTTTTTGAGGCCTTTTTAACTGTTATAGCGCCACCTATTGTCCGATCTCCATGAAACTTTGCATGCTTGTTACGAGTCATCTGACACATGTTTTCACCATTTCGTAAAATGTTGAGTTTTCGTTTAGGTTTTATAGGCTCTTGGGTATATTTGGCCACGCCCCTTTTCTAAATTATTTTTAAAAAAATAATTTGATTTAGAGAGTCCAGAGAACTGTGCTGCAGTGGTTTGATTGAGATTCAGCGAAAATCCTAGGACTAGTTCGCAAAAGTAGGTTATTAATATAATTGAGAATAACTAATGAACAATTTGATTGACAGCAGTGGTTTCTCGAGGCAAAGTTGCTCAGCATGAGGAGATCTATCGAATGATATGAAGATTGAGTGTATGTGTGAAAAATCGAGCAATATACAATCATTTATGCACTTAAAAAACGCAATTTCACCCCCCAGTGGCCGATTTCTTTCAAAATTCTTACAGACCTTTAGGGCCACGAGTCGAACATGCCCACAGAGTTTCGTTCTGGTCGACCTCTGTTAACCTTGTCTAAAAGGTGCTTAAACTTCTTTGGCCAATGGCGGACATGTTTTGAGAAACACGAATGTCCTCATAGACACTGCATACCAATTTTCAAGTCAATCGGACCAACGGTTGCGTAGTTATAGCCATTTTTATGTTTTTTTCCATCTTGTAACGCCACCAAGTGGTAGAGCTGCACATTTTTTTATTTGACCAAAGATTGAGCGAATACACGTGTACCAAGTTTGGTGAAGATATCTCATTCCGTTCAAGAGTTATAGCTAAATTTAACAATTGGCTAAAGTTAGCATATAATGTTTTTGCGTACGGTTGCACACGAAAATTGAAATTTCAACTTTTTTTTATATCTTTTGATATTCAGCCTCCACATAATATTTCTGCCCTGGTTTGGTTCCGATCGGGCGAAAAACCTAGGACTAGTTCGTAAAAGTAGGTTTTGGACATAACTCAATTTTGCGGAAAAAACGTACGTCGTAGAGTGAATCTGTCCACTTTTGTTCATATTGACCCAAGGATTCTAACGATGTAAAGTTTTTGAGTCTACGGCAAACGGTGTAAGAGCTACGGCCAAAAAATGTCTGAAATGTTAGTTTTTTGTGCTGTAGCGCCCCCTTTAGGCCGATTGGGGCAAGTCTTTGGATAGCGAGCAATACTACTACGATCTGACAAATTTCAGCTCTTTAGGCCTTACGGTTGGGTCTGCACGATCAGTTTTACCGGAGAAGAATAATAATTAAAAAATCCTCACATTTACAATAGGGTTTCAGCACTACGTGCTTGAACCCCTAATAATAAAATGTGTCTTGAGCAGCAAATCAGCATATTAGACACTGCAGACTGAAGTAATGCCTGCTGAAGATCCAGCATCACAGGAATAAATGACATTTTATAATATATGCAAATAGTGAAGTTATTTTAAGTAGTAGTAATTTTTCACAATGTTACTGTTTTTTTCCTGACAGTTGATTGGCTGCATCATCGGCCGCCAAGGTGCCAAGATCAATGAGATTCGTCAGATGTCAGGGGCACAGATCAAGATCGCCAATCCAGTGGAGGGCTCGACCGACCGACAGGTCACCATCACCGGCTCACCTGCCAGCATCAGTCTGGCCGAGTACCTAATCAACGCACGGTAACGAACCTGCTCTGTGTGCTCCCAGGTAAAAAAGAAAGTGCACTTCCATGATGTACTTAAAGTGCTGTATTTTCACGCACTAATTTTGTACTTGCTATACTAAAAGTGATTCTTTAGTACTTAAGATAAACTTAAGTGTACTCAACTGTGCTATTTTGGGACACCATGAATATGAACTAAAATGCGCTTTTAATGTACTATCTCTGTATTTAGAAAAAATTTATTTAGTTACCACTTGTAGTACACTTGAAGCCATCTTTCATACACTAGTACACTCAAGTATACTACAAATGGTGACTAAATGCATTTTTTTAAATAGAGATAGTATGTTAAAAGTGCATTTTAGTTCCTATTCATGTGGCCTGTAGCACGAAGCGAGATGAACAAACTCCAAGTTTCAGAGTAGGTTTAGAGTTGACGAAACCGAACAAATCATGTTCACTGGGCTCGCAAAGCTCGATATAAATGTTCTCTGTCAACTCGGGTTGATCCAGAGTTTGTGATTAACCTGAAAGTGTGACGCGTGCAGCAAGCAGCCAATCACACGAAACATGGAGAGCGTCAGATCGATTCACTTCTTGCGAGAGTCAGCGCAATTCACTTCTCTGTTCAAAATTAATAGATGTTGTTATTAAAAATATAATTAATTTAAATGCTTTTACAAGGCAGGAATAAACACTGCTTCTGCAGCAAACGCTTGAGAAGTCAGCAGAAAGAAAATACCTGGCTATGCAAAAGAATCAGCTAAATTTAATAATTTATATACTTTAGCAAAGAGCACAAAAGAAAATACATAGTCATTTTAAAAGCTTTATATATTGAAACTTATTTATAGGCAATGTATATATTTAAATGAATTCAAATGCAAATTTAATATTAATTGCCAGCTCATAATAGTTTTTAAAAGTTTATATAATTATGAATAATTACAATTGATATGATATTAATATAATAAATAATTAGCAGCAAAAGGCAATTTTGTCTCTGAAATTCTGATACTCTAAACTGATTTAATCTGGAGCGAGAGATACGGGGGAGTGGCTTAATTGCATCAGATATGTCACTTTGCTCACAGCTGATTGGTCAAGTTTGGGTTTGCGATCTCTAACCCAGAATAAAACCTGCTCCGGAGCAGGTTAGCTGTGTAGCGTAAGTTACCATGGCAATGAAACCCGCTCAAAACCAACCAATCTTCTTGAGCCTGAAAACACGGTTTGCTCAAACTAAGCGTGAACTTACCCGAGTAAAAACTGAAACTTCATGCTACAGGCCAGTGGTGTCCCAAAATAGCACAGTTGAGTACACTTAGATGAACTTAAGTTTATCTTAAGAAGTACTAAAGAATCACTTTTAGTATATTAAGTACAAAATTAGTGCGCTTTAAGTACATTATGGAAGTGCACTTCTTTAACCTGGGCTGTATTGTAGGCTTCTAGTCCACATGTCCATTTGCTAGTTTTTGTCTACTATATCTGTATTTAATAATGTATTAAGTCACCACTTGAACCCGTCTTTCATACACTAGTGCACTCAAGTGGTGACTAAACACATTTTTTAAATACTCTGATACTATGTTAAAAGCACATTTTAGTTCATATTCATGGTGTCCCAGAATAGCGCCGTTGAGTACACTTAGTCAATCTTAAGAAGTACTAAAGAATCACTTTTAGTATATTAAGTACAAAATTAGTGCGCTTTAAGTACATTATGGAAGTGCACTTCTTTAACCTGGGCTGTATTGTAGGCTTCTAGTCCACATGTCCATTTGCTAGTTTTTGTCTCCGCTGAATTGAAACCATTTGCGCACATGTGTAAAGACAGCCGTCTTCTCTTGTGATTTCAGACTCTCATCCGAGGCTACAGGAATGGCCGCGAACTGATGCTCTCCGCCACCCCACCGCCCCTTTTCTCCTCCTCCATCACATTACGCTCTCTAAGTGCAAAAGGAAACCAAGTATTTTCAACCTAACTTTTCCTTTCACCCACCCCAAGCTATGCTTCATGGATATACACAAGTATTTTATTTATTTATTTCATGAAAATGTTTTTAAAATCCCTTTGCGTACAGTTTTTAATGTCTTTTTTCTTTGCATATTTTGTCAGTTGACATTACCGTATAGAAGTGACAGTGGAGAAAGTGGAAAAATCTGAAAACGCATAAATGTTTTTGTTATCTCAGATTTTTCTTATAAAAACAGAAACAAATAAAAAAGAGAGCAAATACTAATTATAGATTGACCGCTTTCCCTATATCAAACATTTATTTATTTAAATTTAACTCTAGGAAGTTACAGATTTTAAAATCCTAGAAATGAGCTTTAGAGAATAAGCTCCGTTTTCTGCATCAGATCGATTTGAATCTGTGAGGTGTTTTTTTTTTTGGACGTTTGAATATTTGTCATTCCTCAATATTGTCTTTTTTTTCCTCTTTATCCTGAAGTTGGAGATTTTGTTTGAGGGAGGGATGGGAGATGCTGCAGTTTCTGCATAAATGACATTACTGGTATAATAATGAGTTGAAAATATTTCTTTTAGAGAGAATATTTTTTTTTAACCCTGTGGTGTAGAGCCCAGACTGGAGGAGTCCCAGTTGACATTTATATGATGATGCGACTTGAGTTACTGATCAATTACATGACTAGAAGGAACTTTCTAGAATTAACACTAGTTTCCTCTATACTCTGCTTGAGTAATAGTTATGTTTTCTATTTTTTATTTTTTTTTTCTATTTTATTTTTTGTTTTCTGGCAGGAGGAAGGAAAACCTAAAACCTTTTTGTGCACGTTTTCAGAATATTGTAGATTTGGAGTGCAGCTGGAATGAAGAATTAAACATGCAAAATTAAAACATGAAATGCTGAAACTATGGCATGGTATTGTGTGAATTTATTTATTTATTTTTATTTTTTTATGTGTACTCTGGTTAACTATTGTCAACTTTTTTTTTTTTTTTGTGGGCTATAAAATGTTCCATGCGTTCACTGACTTGGTAAGTCAAAGATTTCAAGTTAAAGGAATGGAAGCAGTGAAATTTGTGAGGTTTGCTTTTGTCCATAGAGCAGAACACTTTGAAACAGCATTTCTGTAGATGACTGGACTCATTTGCTTTAAGTCATTTCTCAACATCGTGAAAAATGAGGTTCAGTGTGTGTGACGCACACCTTAAGTGTGGAGGGAGAGAAAACTGTCACTTTTACCTTTAGACGATAAATTTAGATTTTAAATTCAATATTGATATATACAAAACTGTTGAAATTATTTACAATATGTGTAACGCAAGTACATTATAAGTAACTGTAATTAAATTACCTAAAAATTAAGAGTAATCCCTTACTTTACTTTTTCAGCAAATAAGTAATTTAATTACAGTAACGCGTTACACCCAACACCCAACATTTGTATGTATGCAAATTGTATAATATCCAAGGTAAACATTTCTAGTAATTGTGCAGTTAATTGTCATATTGTATTTTCGGAAAGTTTTGGAATATTTGTCCTCTCCCCAAATTTGTCACTACCAAACACAGTAATAATAATTTAATTACAAGGGTTACAGTGGGTACGGAAAGTATTCAGACCCCCTTCAATTTTT